TTTATTTATCCTAACAACACTCTAAGTAAGTGCCCTACTACTAAAGTTTTATAATATAGCTAACAATTAGGTAGCAGTATCTATACTATTACTATCTATAACTAACCCCCTTCTAGCCCCCCCTAAACTATTATTTATATTATTCTAACGCCTCTATATCTCTTAGTAATAGTAGTAACGCTTACGCGTGTCACGGGTAGGGGAAGACTTAGTTAACAAGTACAAGTAGTAGTAGTAGTAGTGGCAGGAGGAGGGTAGTGCTTTAATAGCTTGCTAACGCGCAGCACCCTAGGCCTAAAGGAAGCAAACGTTAGAATAGATGCAAAGGTAATAAGGGAAAATTAATACTAATAATAAGGGTCTTAATACCACAGGTAGTACACTTAGTAGCGCTCTTAAGCTTATTAATATAAAGGTTAGTTTAGGCCTAGGTCTTGTTTATACACTAATTAATACGCTAGAAGGTAATACTAGTAGCAGTAGCAAGCTATATAATATTGTTATTGCTATAACTACTATATAAAGGCGTAATAGTAGACTAAAGTAGAAATACTAGAGCACTAGTAGTAGATAGAATAATAGTACTAAGCTAATACTAATTATAGGCGCGCGAGTAGGTAGTAGGGGTAAGTAGAGCAACAGCGTTATTAGTTTAAGCCCTTAATATAAGATCCTTAAAATAATAGTAGAGCTAGTAGAACTATAGTATAAACTAGTAATAGGTGCCTTTAGTAGGTTTCCCTATAAAGGTGCTAAGGGTCCCCTTCTTTGTAATATAGAGGCGATCCTCCTAGTAACTATAATAAAACTAAAGCTAGTTGCAAAGGGCTTATTAAATATTAGGATTATTAGTAAGGATAGCTTCTAATTAAGTATAGGTCTTATAGCCACAATATTAGGACTTGTATAAGCGCCCTAAATATAGTTAGAACTTGCTATAGAGAAAATAAAAATTAAGGGGAACTTACTACTACCTTCCTAATAGTCACACTTGCTAAAGAGATAAAGCTAGTTAATATACTAATTATAGGGAAGCAGCTTTATAAAGCTACTATTATACTCTTTATTATCTAAGTTACTAGAAATAATAAAGCCACTAAGTAGCTATATTTAGGGAGGCGTGTGCTAAGTAAAAGTTAGTATAGGAAATATAGGGAGAACACTAGAAGTACGCACCTTATCTTAGTAGGCCTAGCGCAGGGTCTAACTACCTTATAGTAGATCCCTACTACTAGCACTAGCAGCTGTAGATAAAGATATAATAGGAACTAGATAGGCGGGATTAATAGAAAAAGATTAGAGAAAGGGCTAATTAGTAGGGAAAATCTGTTGTATAACAGAGTAAGTTTAGGAAATTTATAGTAGGGTAGGATAGCTATATTAGAACTTTTATAGTAGGGTGCTAAAATAAGCGCATAGACGCTACGCGCGCGTACTACTTAATATATAGGCCTGTTACAAATTAGGAAGGAATATAAAGACATAATAATAAAACCTAAGAATATATAGAAATAAAGCCTAAAATGGATTATAGGGTATAAAGATATAACCCTAGACCCCTAGAAAGACGATTTTATAATAGTTTATAGGGAAGGTTAGGGGTATGTAAAGGGCTTAGGCTTATGCCTAAGCCTAGGTCTAACACAAGACAGACCAAGTCTAACACTACTACTAAGCGAACACATTGCACACCTATAAAAAGGCGCTAAGGGCTTACCTCTCCTTTAAGATACTAAATACTATTATTAACGCTTATTGCATTCTCCCTTAAGGCTAGTCCATAACACTTTGCAAGATATTGTAGGTAACTAGAGTAGATAGCACTTGCTAGTGGAGTCGTACTAGAATAGGAGGTGTAGGGTCGTAGGTTAGAGGATATTTCTCTAGCTAGATTAGTTAAGATTTATCTGTATTAATTAGGATTTAGAACTATTTTAGCTAGTGTTGTCTAATAATACAATCCTAAGAACCTAAGTCTACTATTATAAAGGGGCAGTTGTAAACCTTTTAGCTACTAACTATTATATAAAGCTAAATATAGTAGGCAACTAGGGAGGTAATCTAATCCTAGAACCCTTTAATAGTAAGCTTGTATAGTAGCTTTTAGATAGGTACCCTAAGCGTGGAAGAGATATTATAAGCAATTTTTAAATTAAGAAATAAGTAATCTTAGGCCCTAGTATCTACTAAAGCGTTTAGGCAAACACTAGATCTATTAAGGCATAGGGTCGTACGTGCAAGCAAATAGGAACTAATAAATAATTTAGTTAAAGAAAGGTTTAACAGGTTATATTAAGTTAGGCCTAGGAAGGAGGATCCTCCTAGGCGTTATTGTTTCCTGTCTAATAGCTATCTAAATTAGTTAATTTAGCAGTTTCTTCTTCCTTAGAATTCTTAATAACCTGTTCCACATCTATAGCCTAAATCCTAGGAGGTTTAGGGCAGTTACTAGAGAAGTGCCTAGGCTTTCTACAATTATAGCAAGTTACTAGGGTTCCTGTTATAGTAGCGCTAGGAGTAGCTAGCGTAGCAGATAGGGGTTAATTATTTTAAGGGCTAGTGCCTTATTATTATAAGTAGGGCATATAAGGTTTAGCTATTAAAGGTCTATTATAGGGTTTCTAATTAGCGTCTAAATAGGACTAGTTTCTAGAGTATTAGAAGGGGGTTAGTCCTTTTCTAGATAATAGAGTAGTCTAGGTAGGAGTAGATAAGGTAGGGTATAGGCAGTGTTCTATATTAAAAGTAGTAAGATAATCTACTATAGTCTTAAAATTATTATACTAATTTTGTTAGAAAGCGAGGTTTAGTATCCTTAGGGAAGGTGTAATCTTTATCTAGAGGTAGTAATACTACTCTAATTAGGGTACTTCTCCTCTAATAGCACGACTCTAGAATTATAACTTAAAAGTAGGGAATATCTCTATATTAGTTATATATAGGTAGTTAAATATAGTCTAACTCTTAGCTATCTTATTTCTAGTAATAAAGTAAGTTTAAAGGAGGGTAATTATTTCCTTAGCTTTTTAGAATTAAAGACTTAGGGAATTAGATAGGTAACGTGGCTCTAAGTATTCTCTTGCTAGTCCTAAGCAGTGTCCCTAGACTAACGCTATCTAAGCTCTAGAAGAGGGGTAGTAATTAGCGTTAATCTCTAGCCTATCCTAAATAGATGCTTGCTATTATCTAAAAGTAGGATTAGCACTATTACTAAGTATAGAGATATTTAGCATCTTTTTAGATTATCTCTTAGCTTTTATAGTATATACTATAAGGTTTAATATAGAAGCTAAAGACTAGCTAGGTTAGGTAGTACCCTATATCTCCTTATAGAGGGAGGTGTTATATAACTAATTAGTAAGTTGCTTAACTTGTTCCTCTAACCTCTCCTTTTTAGATAGGGTTAACATGTATTTATCTTTAAGGGAGGTGTTGCTTTAAGATTTCCTAGGAGCACAAGGTACCTTAAGAGATAGATAGGAAGTAGGTCCTTTAAGGAGGGCGTTATTAATTAAGTCTTCCTTATCTAATTTCTTTCTATTAGTAAATAGGCTTTTAAACGTAGCTAAACTAGATACCCTTCCTTTGCCTTTATCTAATATTTTGTAGTTAATAAGAACAATAAATCTTTTCTTTAGGGGGTTTAGTAGTAGAAGGATATTAGCTTTGCCTCTAATTCCTCTAGGCTTTTAGTAGTCTCTAGGTCTCTACCTTATTGTAATCTAACACAATTATTCTAAAGGTAATCTAGCACTACCTATAGGTCTAGAAGTCTAAGCCTATAGGCTTTAGTTATTAGAAGTTCTAATAGCTATTCTAACTATAGAGTTACAGGGTTAGATAGCTACTAGAACTAAATTAGTAGCTTAAAATAATAACAAGTGCGATATTCTTAAATACTATTACTAGCTAGGATAATGTTCTTCTTATAATATAACAACTTAGGTAGGTAGGGCATCTAAAAGGTATCCTATATAACTTAAAGGCATATAGGAGTGCGCGTCTGTATAGAAAAGGATAAGATTCCTACACCTATAGGTCTTGTACGAAAGGACAAGAAGAACATGCCTATCCTAACTATAGGCGAGCTGTTCTCTATATATATTAGTAAGTCAGGCCTTTATTAGGCCTAACTTAGTATAGAACAATAGGTAGGCAATTCTACCTTATTGTTACATATATATAATATAGTATATATAATATAGTATATATAATAATATACATATATACCTAACTTTAAACTAATATACTACTAAAAAAACTTATAATATATATAGTATAAGTAAGTAACTTACCCTAGTATATTTATAATATAGAGTATAATCTTTAGTAATACTACTACACTATAATATAGGAGTGTTATCGCAATAGGCGCCTTTATAGAACTTACTAACCTATTATTATAGGATATTTTAGATTGTAATTTTATATACTAGGTATACTACCTAGTCTCTTAGTTATTATTACAGCGTACCTAGGTAGCAGTATGCTGCACGCCTATACCGCCTAGGTATCTACTAGTACTAGTTCCTATATAGTAACCCTACTAAATTATACCTACTATATACCCTCTATCTATACTAAATTTTCCCCCTAGGTGCTATATATCTATCTACTATATAACCTGTAATTAGGTATATTATATAAACTATAGTTAAATAGACGCTAAAGTTAATATATATAATACTAATAATATATAAACTAAAAAGTTATTTACCTTTATAGAATATATAGTATAGTAAACCCTATTTAGGTTTACTTCTTATACTTAAACTACTTTGTGGTCTACTTTAGATAAATATAGCTACTATAAACTAGTTTTGTACCGTAGTGTTAATATCCTTATATTTGTGGTGATTAATATGTTGTTGGGGTGGCGGTTACGCGAACACGGCGGTTACGCGCGCAGCCTCGGTAATCCTCTGCAGGACTGGCGCGGCTCACCAAATGCAACCGCATCATGAATGCCTCCTTCTCCCCATGCACAACACAATATACTACTAATACCACTTCTTATACCCCTCTGAACCTTCTGGGGCATTGCAATATGTCTTGCAGTAGAAACTGAACTAATGGCATTGCGTTAGCCCGAGGCTGAGAGAAGAAGAAGATGATGATGATGAAAAAGGAGGGCGAGGGAAGCAGGCAAACATCCTCGATTTGGAAAGGAAAGGAGAGCAGAGAGAGGAAGGAATGGTCATTTTGAAAAGAAAAGAGAATCCGAGACTAAGGAATGGGGCAAATAACATACCTCATCACCACCAATATGCCAATCTTTCGAAACACACGACGTGAGGTCCTATGTACAATCTCATGAGCCATTTTTCCTTCGGTTTTCCCACGGCCAAAACCTCAGCCCCCAGCGGCCCAACCGGCCGACCCAAAGCCAACCCTCGTGTCAGAAACGAAGCAAGAAGGACTACTCACATATTTACAATCCGTGCATGTGTCCCAATGTTTATCTCCCGTATTTCGTTGTCGATAATAATTACACGCGCACTCTGTAGCCTTATTATTGATGGTAAAGTGAGGGACATAGCGTATTGATGGGGATTGCGGAGTTCCAAGACCAATTTGGTGCCAAGTGCGGTCTTTGACGCAGACGGTGGCATTGTGTACATCGGCCTCTACTCTGGCAGCCGGAGGTGTCAGTCTTGGGATGAGGGGAGATGGGGAATGGGGGTGGGGAGCGGCAGGAGGAAGCTTACAAGGAAAGCATGGAGAGGACAGGAAGTACAAGTCCAAAGAGCATCATGCTGGAGATATAGATTTGTGAGTATTGGGCTTCGCTCGGTCTATGGTGTGTGTGCGTTGGCACTCTGGGAATATTCAGGTGTTTGAAACTGTGATCACCGTTGTGATGCTGGAGGCTGAGGGTGTAATGGTCTGATGGTCCGGCGTGACCTCGTGCTTCCTTTATACATCCACGACTGCTACACGACTCGACCCTTTCGTTTCATCTTGTCTGCAAGATAGCATGCCGCACTTGCCAAGCGTAGCTCCGCGATCCCTCTTCGTCTCCTACAATACAATTCCTGCTTACCATGACCATCACGTATCATTTCACACCATCATGCACCCATACAGGGGTTCCTAATTAGGCTCTGCTTCTGTGTCCTCAAAGAATGGTACAACTGCTGCGTGAGGCTATGGATCCGGTTAGGATATCAGATAGTAGCGCCGAAAACTAGGTTTTCCTATCTGCGTGAACTGCCTTGTTCCCTTTTGCGCCATCAGTCTTTGAGATGAGAGAGTAGCAGTATCCTCTTTCCTGGCGAGACAAGCCTCCCATTTCGATATGGTGGAGGACGATCTCAGCTACTAGATACCACATGATAGGTGGGCGCTATTAGATGGATAATTACTTCCTACTAGGTACTACTAACAGCTTCCCTCCGTATTGGCCTGGTACTAGTGCTCATGCACGCTTAGACAATTTCTACGCTTCAACCAACTGATTGCTCGTATTCTGCCGCTACTCCAAAAAAAAAACGCAAAAATCTTTTCTTTTTCCTCGTTACAATCCCGTACCAGCAATCTCGTGGCAGAGAGATGGGAGGCTAGACGATGTTAAGCGGCTGACTATGGTAGTCAATTGCAGAATCTCCTAAATCAGATTTGAGGCTCTCTCCATTTCTTTTGGTAGCACTTCCATTGGTTCATAGGTAAATCAAGCAACTGAGATTTACGTAACTGAGTAGGGCTACCTTATTATTCGGGTATCGAGGGTATCATGTGCATCCTTGTCAGTCTTTGTTGTTCTTCAAGCTGGCCCGCTGTTTTGCACGTATACACCGATAGTACAACCGGACAGGGGTGACTATGATTGTATGCTTAAAGAATACTAAAGTCATGTCAATAGGCTTTGATAATCTCTTCCATACGGATCAGCTTGCGGCAGATAACAGACCGTCTGTACTTCCTAGGCGCTTGAATACACTCGCTGCCCGCTGTACCATACACAGTAACCATGCAGGGGACGTCGACTAGCGGGCCTCCTGCCTGGGTACAATAGTCTCCGTACTGAGGCCGATACATTGGTGTTTTGAGAATAAAAGTGATACCTCCTGTGGGATACACGATAGGCCCGGCAGCGACGATTCGGTATAACTTGATGATACGAGAAACAAGTACCTAGCAGTCTAGCAGAAGACGCGATGTAACGTACTGGCAATAGCAAAAGACGCAACGTGGGGCACATGGTATGTAACAACGGAAGTCCATGGTCCCAGGCACACTCTGACCAGAAACTGGCCATGCTTGCTTGGCCGAGAGGGACCGAGACACAAGTTAGCGCGCTGCGCTACCGTTGGGCATACTGTGTAGGTAGAAGTTAGTCCTATCCCGTGTAGCAGCCGTGTCTTACTGGTATAGCTAATGTTCATCAAGCTATCAACGATTGGAAAGTGCACTTGCGCCCTTTGCGAAGAGCCGCCCGCCTCTAATAAGGAACACAGCGATTCGTGCTCTCACTCTCTACCTATGTAGCCTTACTTTACCGTACCCAATCTTTTCCTAACCGTGAAGTGACCGTTTTAGCCTGAACTCACTGCTCACCCCAAGGCTAGCTAAGCATGGTGCGCTAAGTGACCTTGGTTCGTGGGTAGTTAGTTTGGAATAACAGCATGCTAGCGTCAAGTACCTGAAGTAGCTCAGTTCGCTAATACAAATTATACATGGGACCCCCGCCTCTAAACAACCATGGCCGATGGGTGGTCAAGATAGGACAAACAACAGTATTTGGCCGACGGGCCTATCCATCATAACTATTTGTATGTAGTGCCTATTTGCTCACCTTTACTGTGCCTTCTGGTAGCAGGAGCTATAGGAGGAGTTGAATCACGCCACTTTAGGGTATTTTCATTGAATCAGACACACCAATTATTGTACCTAAGTAACCTAACATGTGAGGGGGTTTGTGGTTTGAAAACTGATAGGTCTGAACGCCCTATGAGTGGAATTTCAGCCCATCATAGACGCCTTTGTACTATTGGAATACTAGCAAGACACTGTTGGCTTACATGTACTCCTATCGGAAATCCTTGTGCTTGGCATGCCCGCGTGGATAGATATTGTACCCAATGTTAGGCAACAGGTCAAGGTGGGCTGATCGCTATCCGTTCCACTTTTAATGGAGTACACTTGCCTACCATCTCATCGGTGGGCACCTGTAACGAGCCCTGCTGACTGTTCCCCACTCGCATCTAAAAACCTACATGTTAGCGTCGGCGCTGTTGGCCAAAGTTTGTTCCCATAGGTCTGCCTAGGGACAGCATCTCCATATTTCCCCATCCTCCTCACATGCCGCGTTACATTCTTGTGTAGAAGAGGGTACCGTATTGGAAGACCAAGTACGCAATAGATGATGAGTGAGGCCAATGGCGGGAAGGAACGCGCCATGAGACAACGTTCGTTGGTTCGAATCCCGATTCTTTTTCCTCTAAATAATTTAGAGGCAGCCTACTACGCACGTGTCTGTTGATAGATGAAATAATTGCCCCGGAGCCATGTCTCATGGAGAAGAGCGTGAAGCTTGAGCTGAACAAGAACGTAGAGCTTGATAGATTGCCCGGGGTAATCAGTGCTTGATTCTATGCGTTCACTGGTCAAGAGCGAGGACTTGGCATCGCGAACGAGACCCCGCACTCCTCCATGGGAGATGAAAGCAATGACTTGGACCCCAAACATGACCATTGTACTTTTTAGATCCAGTATGCAGGATGCATGATGACCTGTTGTATGGCAAGAATAAGGCTGCGGACTCCTTGTACATGCGGTGGGCGACTCTTGGGGATAACGAGCTTTGCGTTCACGAGGGGGGGGGGATGTCCGGTGGACCTTGTTCCAGAAGGTTGGCATACTATCCAACCGTGGTAGGATTGGATCGATGCGATAGCTCATGGAGATCAGCATCGACCAACACACGTGGTGCGTTTACGTGTTGTCATCTGTGCGCCTTCGTGCCCTGTGCCTGGTATCCTACGCCCTGGCCAATGGCCTGATGCATGTAGGATTCCGGTGTCTGGAAACCCAAGACAAGTTACCCGAACGGTGGTAAGTTTGTGGGGGCAGGAACTGCCCGACTCTTAACGTATGAGTGGAACCTGCCGTCCGTGGGGGCGGGAACGATCAACAAGCCATCTCCTCCTCCTCTTCAGTGTGTTGCCGTGATGTCGTGATGCCGGCATAATAGGCATCCTGGTCGAAGCCTGTCGAGGTATTAGTTTGCGGTCCAAGGTGGAGCCAGAGATAGGGATAGTGATTGGCCCGCTCGGCATTGAGTCAGGAATCTGAGAGAAGGATAAGTGGAGTGGCGGGTCAAGTCAAGAAGAGATGATGATGTGTGAGGGAGGTCATGTATATATAATGCTGCCTGTTCCCGTCAAGTTGAACCCATCCGTCATCAAGCCCTCTTTCCCACTCAGCCCACTCGTCACAGCCATGATCAGATTTGTTACTTATGCCATTGTCTTTGCGGTTGCGGCGAACCCTGCGCCACTCGATGATGCCAAGATTCCCGCCCTTTCCGCGTATGGGATGGAGGAGATGGTTGTAAGTAGCGAATGTACGTCTTTCGCGCGGTGCTCGACAGCCCAGGCCACTTGCAGACGTGTCGAGTTCATGGGGCTGACCTGAACCCTAGATGGGACTCTCTCCAAGAAGGAGTGGACTGCAAAATTGGCGGCTCAGGGATGGCTCCTGAAGCGCCCAGAGATGGACCATGACTTCCTCAACTTTACCCCTCCAGCCGAACCCTTACCCAAGCGGGATGACTGCGAAGCCGTGGCCTACCAGCAGCTGGGCAAACCGGCGCGTTTCGTCGACTGGGACGTGCAAATGTCTCCTATCCTCTGCGGCGGTGGTCTTATGGACCTCTCCGTGGCTGAAGGCTATACCATCAGCAACACGTTGGGCTTCAGCGGTTCTTTCATGCCTTCAGGTCTGAAAGGTCAGCTTGGTGCTTTACTCGGGGTTGATTTCAGCCGCACCTGGACGACGACAAATGTGCGCACTGTGACTGGGCATGTGATCAACGGGCAGTGTGGGTGCATGATCTACATGCCGTTGGTTACACGATACTATGGCAGGGTGTTGAGGGGCTGCGTGGGAGTAATGACAGAGGTTGGAAGATACATGGTGACTCAGCATGCATCGGCGTCGTACGAGGGCTTCGAATGGGTCTCGGGCGCGATATCCGTATGCAACAGAACGCAGTCATATCCTCCTCTTCAAAGGTGCCATGGCGGTGGGTTCTTGGTCTAATTTCTCTATTCGCATATTCACAATGATTTGATTGATGTCGGGGGACATGGGCCAAGGGGGCAAATAACCCCGGCCACTTTTGCTCCACATGTGGTTGCAAGGAGGGGTTCCTGAGTAGGGTAACCTGATCCACCACCGAGCGCCCACCCCCACCGAGCGCCCACCAACACTCAAATCCACCACTCACTAAATAAGGATATTGCGCCACCCACAATAGCTATTATTACGAGATTTTTTAGAGTCACGATTATTAGATCTATTAGAGTAGATTAAATATTTTAGATTATATAAGTAGCTGTGGAAATTTGGATCACTGAGGTCAGGAATGATTTGGGAGATGGATCATTGGATTGTATCTACTACGATCGTACTTATATATATAGAGCTTCAGCTACCCTTACTAGAAGGTGAATGATTGGTAAACCTTCCTTACTAGAGCTCCTGCTTTTTGTTGGGCACTTGGCAGTGAGCTGGCAGTCGATCAGATAGTGGGTCATACAGGGGTATTGATCAGGATTGATCGGATCAAGATGCTCCGTGATCCGGTTGATAACCCTCCTGCAACAGTAGCTTTTTAGGGGGTCTAATTAGGTGCCTACGCTATAATATTGCCTCTACTACTATATCCTCTTGTACTAGCTCCTAATTAACTACCTTAGCTAGTATAATAGTAGCAGGCTTAAGGATTTACCTCTTACCTATTTAGGATATTTTAATATTATTTTAGAGTTACTTTTCTAGTTACTTAGTAGTTTTCTACTTATTATATATAGTAGCTTTCTAGGTAGCTTTCTCCTTCTACTTGTAACAACTTAGGTAGGTAGGGCATCCGAAAGGTATCCTATACGACTTAAAGGCATATGGGAGTGCGCGTCTATACAGAAAAGGATAAGATTCCTACACCTATAGGTATTGTACAAAAGGATAAGAAGAACATACCTATCCTAACTATAGGCGAGCTGTTCTCTATATACATAAGTAAGTTAGGCCTTTATTAGGCCTAACTTGGCATAGAATAATAGGTAGGCAATTCTACCTTATTATTACACTACCCCCTCCTATAGAGAAAGGATAGTCCCTATCCTTAGGATTAGGTTCAGATTCCTTATTAAAGAAGAGCTTTTTGCAAAATAAATCCACCTTTACCTCTACCTTTACCTTTACTTCTTCTTCCTAGGGCATAGACCCCTATCCCTAGCCTGCCTATAACTAGCCCTCTACCTACTAACTTTCTTATTCCTATATCCCTAATTTTTTAAACTTTTTAACCTATATCTATCCTATCTAAAATCTAGTAAGTAATAGATCTATATAATTAAAATAGTTGCTAATCTAGATTAGATCTAAATACTATACCTGTCCTAGTGCTACTAGGAGTCTTGCTAGCCGCCTACTATACTCTGTGCATGTAAGCTATTAGGGCTCTAGCTTAGGGCAAGTTTGTTAACTTTAACTTCGCTTTATAGAACTCTAAGAAATGCTAGTACTATATTTTATAGAATAAGTATTATAATCTAGTTTATATCTAAGTCTGCTAGGTTTCTTTTCTAACTATAATAGATTCCTAGTTATATTAGGCCTAAGTACTCTCTTCTTTAAGGTGCTTTAAATAAGTACTATAGTTAGATCGCAAACCCCCCTAAGGAGTCTACAGGAGCCTAGGTATTAAAGCGCTATTAGAAGGATATTAACTAATTTAAGGCTACTATTTAAAGGACTACCTAAAACCTAGCTAAAACTATTACTATTACTAAATCTTAGACTAAGGGTATAAAAGCTGCTAAGATCCTTATAGCTATATATTATGCTGCTACATCTAATTTACGTTAGCTTTAGAATAGTATTTATAAGATAGTCTTGGTAGTTAGGGGCTTAATAAGGGCTATTAATAAACTTAAAGAGGAAATAGCACTAAATTAGGAGGCAACCTTTGTAGTGTAGGCTAAGATAAAGGCATTTAACAAGAAGGCGTCTAAATTAGTTCTAGCTCCCACACCTGCTACACTAGTTGTCTAGAAGCTAGCTAAGAAAGATAGTCTAGGCGCTATCTTAGCTAATATAGAGTCTAAACTAGGGTCTAATAGAGAGATAGATATAGAATAAGGAGGTTTCCTAGGGGTAGTATCCTAGGAACCTTAAAGGTTCTAAATAGGATATAATAATAAATAGCGACAAGAATAATAGTAATAGATAGTAGTTAATAGATAATACGTAGCTAAATAGGATATAAATTAGTTCTAATATTAGGTATAATTGTTGTAAAGTAATATTAGATCCTCTTTACCTTTTTCCTAGGCTTAAATCTATTTTAGTAAGCTATGTAGGGGACCTAGCTAATTTAGATACTATTAGTAGAATACCTGTAATTTATAGGGAGCACCTATAAAGTTAGAGGTAGGATACTAAACAGGATTAGGATTATATCTAACCTACTTAACCTTATATTTTAGCTTAGATTAATATAATTTGCTAGCTAGGATTTCTTCTACCTCCTATTCCTCTACACCTTATATAGGGGTACTAGGGGGTTTTAGAGCCTCTTATCTAGGTAATAGGTCTTAGGGATCTTTATATAGTATATTAGGAGAGAAAACGTTATAGATCTTAGAACTAGGTGGCAATTAGAGGTAATACGCGTTTCCTACTTATTCTAATACCTTAAAGGGACCTTCCTATTATTTAGATAGTTTTTAGCTAGGTTATAAAATAGCAAGATTAGTAGTAGATAGATAAATATAGTTACTAACCTTCTAGTCTACTAGATAATAATAGTAATTAGTAGCAGAGCGTATTTAGTCTTAAGCTCTTTCTATATTTTCTTTAGCAATCTTTTATGCGTCGTGCATCTAAGTAGCAAGGGATAAGGCGTCCTTATAGTTTAGTTTCTCTAGGATAGTAGATAGGGTCTTTTCTAGCTTCTAATACTAACTTTGCTTTAGTAAGGAACTAAAGAGGAGCTAATAAGGAGCTATGCTAATAGATAAATATAGAAGAGTACTTTAGGCACAGTCTATTATAGGTAGTAGGTTACTCTAGTTATCTTAGTAATAGGATATAAAAGGCCTTAGTCTCTAATTAATATACTTGTTTATAATCTTAGTTTGTCTATTAGTTTATTTGTAGTAGGTAGTAGAGAGCTTAACTTTAGTGCCTATAATCTAATAGAACTTGGACTAGAAACTAGATATAAACTAAGGGCCTTAATTAGAAATAATAGTATCTAGAGTGTGTCTAAATTAGTACACCTACTAAACAAATAAGGTAGCTATACCTTAGGCGTCTATAGTTTTGTAGCAAGGGATAGTAATAGCTTGTTTTAATAGGCAATTAATAATAACTATAATCTAATTATAACCACGTTAATCCTAGGGAAAATCCTTAAAATTAATGCACAAGTGTTGCATTAGTAGACTAGGGATAGGAAGGGGATAGAGCATGCTAGGGAGTTAGTGCTACCTTAGGTGCCCTCTCCTATATAGGATACAGTTCTAAACGTAGCGTTTATAGGTAGTCTCTATACCTTTCTAGTAGTAATATTAGGCTAGAATCTAATAGGTTTTAGTAGCTAATAGGTAGGTAGTAGACACTTAATTATAAGCCTTACAAATTAGTCTAGTATATAGGACTAATCTAGCAGGCACGCAAAGTTAATCCTAGTAGAGAAGGAGTCTATTTTCTATCTAATAGTGCTTAGGCAACTCTAATCTTTCTATTAGGAATAAGGACCTATTTTCTTAGAGAAGAGTTTTAATTAGTTCTAGGGATCCAAGAGTTATAGGGTTCTAAACTGCTGTAATTAAAGTAAGGATTAGTAAGGAACGCCTAGCTAGATAGTCTTGCGCTAAGTTAGAGTTAATTTAGGGGTGTAACCTATCTAGGGCAATTATTACTTGTAAGCAATTATCCCTCTAAGTAGTCTTAAGGTTAATTATATCCTATTCCCTTCTACTTAGGATATTAGCTTAGGCGTTATAAGATCTAGGAGTATACTTAATTTAGAAGTTAAAGGGACTTATAACCTCTAGCTATCTAGCTTGCCTAGCACTAAGGACTTTAGTAGATATAAAGTACTCTAGTGCTCTATAGTCTGTGTATACTCTAATAAGGTGCTAAGTACTTATTAGGTTAGCACGCTATTTCTTAAAGGCGCAGATTATAGTAAATAATTCTTTGTTATAGATTTCCTAGTTAAGTTTAGAACTAGTAAGGGTCTAACTAAAGAAGGATATAGGGTACTTTTTCCTATTAGGATGCTCCTGTAAGAGGATAGCTGCAATAACTCTATTAGAGGCGTCTATCTCTAGTTTTAGAGGGTACTTAGGATAGAAGTAAGCTAAGCTTAGGATTGCTAGCAGGGCATTCCTAAGCTAGTTAAAGGCTTATTAGCATTCTAAAGTCTATATAAATAGGGTAGTAGGGCTCTAAAGAGTGGTTAAGGGCTTAGCTATCCTAGAGAAGTTTTCCACAAATTGCTAGTAGAATCTAGTAAATCCTAGGAAGGACTTTACTCTAGTTATTGTCTTAGGAGCGGACTAGTTTCTAAGTACTTTAACTTTATTAGGGTCTACCTCTAAGCCTTTGTTAGTTAGGATATATCTAAGGTAACAGGTGTAGGTTGTATAGAATTTGCTTTTCTTAATATTAGCCTGTAATCTAGCAGAACAAAGACGCTTAAGGACTTTTTAAACATAGTCCTTATAAGTAGCAAGGTTCTTAGAGTAGATAAGGATATTATCTAGATAGGTAATGCAGAAGTTATCTAAATAATCTATTAGTATATTATTTATATAGCGCTAATAGGTTACAGGTCTATTATATAGCCTAAATAGTAGGACTTTGCATTTGTAGGCACTATACCTAGTGTAGAAAGTAGTGTACTCCTCTAATTTAGGGTCTATTTAGATCTTATTAAAGGTGGCACGAATATCTAGCTTAGTAAAGATTTTTGCTTTAGCTAGCTATAATAATAGATTATCTATATAGGGTATTAGATACGCGTC